CTCGGTTCTTTCCCGCGCGAAACAGTTTTTGCAATGTTACGCACTTGTAAGACGGAGACAACACATGCGGGTGTAGCGTCCTCTTAAGAACAAAAACTAAAGAAGTTATTTTATTGTTGCATGGATATRTTAAATCACTATTATTTAAACTCAATGATAAACTGTTCTCACTATATCCATGCGTAAAACAATTTTGACCTGAGAATTTTTAGATTTTGTCTAATCTCTTTTCATATTGATATTAGTAATTTACAATGTTGAACTAATTTTAGCCACAAATGTATGCCATATATTACTATATATAATAATTTCATACCTAAACAATATTCCTAACTGTTATAAGTTAAAACTCAATACTGACGTACCGTTTAACGGTATGAATACATTTTAGTATAAAAAGCAAAACAATTAATCTAATTATTTTCATTATTGTATACCTACCTATAGAAAATGATAATTTAATTGTCAAATAGTGGTATCTACGATAATATTTTTTGAGTGAATAATAAAATTATAAAAATCATTTGAGCAAAACTCATTACCTATTATACGTTGGAAACTACTCTCAAAGTTGAAGATTTTAGCATTAACAAAACGAGAAAAAAAATCATTATATGATTGATATATTCATCACTCTGGTCAAATTTTAAGCTAAAGTTTGAAACCAAAATAATTTTCTATACAATTAATTTCTTAAATAAATGATAAAATTCACAATTGTGATTTATCGTTTGGGTTGTTATTCTGGTATTCTGTTATTCACTTGATTTGTATCATACGTGCACATTAACGCTAAGTTGATTAATTACCATAAATTATATCTCATAGACAGATAGGTACTCACTTCTGGCAAGGGCATTGGTTTCTTATACGTGCATCCTCCGACTTCAATGATACCCGGTGGCAGCGGCCGGGTGTCTCCAAACACGAAGTGGGTGTTCACAATGATGGCGTTCACGTTGTTCAGGGATTCAGACACCGTACCACCGTTGAGTTTTCCTAAATATTTATCCACGATTTCTTGAGCCTATTAAAACCACGCAAACCATGGATATGTTTGTGTCGGTGAAAATTATGGGTTCGTAAATTTAAATCGCCTTGTACATGCATAAMACAGGAATAAACGCTATCATATTATCATAACTCAGATTTCGGTCGAAGACTGTTTTCGGAATCCAATGTTTTTTGGWTCTTATTATCTTTATACATTTTTTTTTGTGTCATAATACACTATTACCAAATGTTTAATTTATGATTATTTTTACAATAAACATTAATCAGATATTATTATGTTAAAATATGTATTTTCGTTTTAAAATGGCTGCTAAACATTTTATAATGCGTATAATACCTACGAATATTATTAAATTCTGTCAAATAACGTTTAGTGGATTTTCAGCGCTTAAAATCTGAGTCTCGTGTATTCATCACGAATCATAACAAGATTTAACGTTTGGACATATTATATAACATCATTATGTACTCACCGCCTGTTCGTATTTAAATTTGTAATACGTTTTCATCATTATCAGGATCACAGAGTTTATCAGTCGTTCAGCAAACATCATCCGACTAGTAAACGGTAACAAGTTAACCGGAACATACGACGGCATAATCACGTCGCCGACCATACCGCCAAACCACGGATAGAGACTGGTCGAAGTTATACCGACGACTGGTGCCCCGAAATGATTGGCGATTGACACGAAGCAACCAGTGTTGAAGATCTGTATGGATGTATAGAAATAAAAATAGTTCAATCGTTTGGTTGGATTTTCGTGGTAGGTCGGTGGAGGAAAAGACAGAGCAAAAATATAATCGAAAAATACCAAACTGTAAAGTTGCGGCCCCAGTGATGTGACATGTGTAACATTTTTACAGTATTATATAGTATATAATGCGAATGAATTTTCGAAAACCTAAATCAAGTCCCAAAAATTCATATTAAACAATGAAACTTTTATTATCGACATCTGATAAAGTTTTTAAGAGAATTTCAAGCACATTTTGTATATAGTGACAATGATAATTTATKTTTTTTAAATAGCGCGTAACAACATAAGTTGTRTAAWAAAGATTAACAAAATATTTTCTGTTTTTATAATAATACAAAACACAATATTAAAAACCCGATGTTAGTTTCTCCGAGACATTATCCCCTTTCACATTTCAACACTTTATAATAAGTGTTTTAACTTTAAGATCGTACTGGCAGAATTAAAAAGCATATATAGATCTGCGTCATTAAGTATTATCGGATTTTAAAAATATTTAAATATATTTATACAAGGACCATCAAAACGCACAAAMGTTATCTTGATTGAATTTGGAATCTCAGATTTGTGTTGGTAAAATGTTTTTGTTTGAATTATATTCTTTTCATTTTTCTTAAATTTTGTTAAAACCACCTGTACTAAAGCCTTCATAAAACGTCTCCTTTAGTAAAAATAAATTTGTTGTCGTCAGAGTTTCCGGGTTATAACCACAGATGTGGGTGCTTAGTGTTTATTATTATAATATTTTATACGTGAATTCAAAAATGTATTATTATATGGTGGATATTAATATTTTCCCCGCCGCCTGCGCACACGACCGTTATTGCAGGTCACGGGCTTATGGCGTTACGAGTGATTTATTTATTTATTTTTTTTTGTACAGTGTTCCGGGTACAGAAAATGTGATTCCCGCATAATATAATGTAATACCTGACGAGTATTATATATAGAATTTTTCGCACAAGTTTCACACGTACGTATATAGTATAAAACATTGCCGGAATGCAATCCGATTTTTCCGTCCTAAATAAACGGATCTGGAAGCTGATATGTTATTGTCTTGTATCGAATTACGGGCGCGGACTGATTTCTAGAGAATTCAAGCCGTGGACACGTTCCAAAAGCCGGACACGACTTGGTAAATTTTTTTTTTTGTTCTCTTGAATGCAGAAGAATAAATGCGTGTGAATAAGAAAAAAACGGTGACGACGCGTTTATCTTTTGGCAACCACGGCCATCCGTTCATTAATATAAGTCAAATAATATTATAATGGTGTATTAACCTCTACTGTATAAAGCAAATGTGAGGTTCGCATAACTTAACCCAATCGATATATCATAATAGCTTAATAATATTTATATTATGCCTTTCTGTTAAYGACCGTCACGCAGATATTTATTTTATAGGATATAAATGGATGGATTGATATTGTATAAAAAATATAGTTAGGTATAAACATGTACATTGTTATTTTTCACGAGTTGGGCAACAAAATGTTATGATTATGTACCGTAAAAATAGTTGAAAATCGATGCGTGCGCATGCGTCAATCATCAAACAATGACTATAAAGAATAATGGCGTTTTTATTTCACTTATTTTTAACTCAATAATAATTTACAGTATAGGTACCCCTCTGAGATAATTAAACTAAAAAATCACAAATTATGATACTAGTTAAAACGTATCTTATTAATTATTAATAATGATTAATTAACATGTTTTTGAAAATTTAGATTTAGTATGCCAAAGAGTATCATCCAAGTAGTAATTTTGAGTATGAAGTTTTTACTTCAATTTTTCAAATGAAAACAAATTTGTTTTTGACATTGTTAACTAAATTATTGTTTTCAATGTTTTCGTACATATCTAAGTAAGAATAAAATCGAAAGAATAGTTTCTGCCAGTTAAATTTGATGTAATATATTGAAGTAAGTTGAATAGTTATAATTATATGGTTTACGATAATATACATATATATGAGGCTATATTTGAAAGTTATATTTAGCAATATCAATGTATAAGCATTTTATGAAAGTATAATATATTAATATAATGATAATTGTAATTAATAAGTGATAGACTCTAGATAATACATCTAATTTATATTTTATATGTTATAATCATTGGAAATATAAAAAACCGTCTGGAAAAAAAAATTACATTTGATAGTCATATGGCATAAACATCAATAACTACACAATAATGGCGATAAATACAATCGAAAATATTACGATATTTAAGTGTACTTAAAAATTACTAAAATCAATATTCAAATAATTTGAATGTATCGTTAAGGAATAAAATAGGAAGTGTACATCATTAACGAATCACTTCGTATATTATACCTAGCATTAAATACAAAGATATACTTATATGTACCTACCAACTGAATCGTTTATTTGAACGAGTAGCTATTAATTGAATGATTTGCGTATTATAAGATATTATAATATTGCAGATGAATCATTATAGTGGAAAATAATATTGAACATCACATATACGATATATATATATTGTGTTTAAGAATCTACTGCCACCCACGATAATGAATAAATAAAATAACTTATTTGGATATAATATTATTTTTGGGCCGGGTTGAATAAAAGATTTGATCATTAATGCGTAGAATTTCCGTTGTTCCTCCCACGACCGAACAAATTAGTTGACTGCAATTTTACAAAATCAAAATACTTTCTCTACCCTACAGACGAGAATACGTCAAATAATTAAAATCGTCAAGCATATTAAAATATATTTTGATTTTTGAGAGAAAAAAATCTCAGTCGACCAACTTGTTCCAGGAAAAAAATATCGTTCCTCACATTTTAATTTTTAACGCATAGCGTGTAATGGATATTTGATCACGAATGACTACTATAATTAAAAAAAAAATTGTTTTTATGTTTTAATATTTTACCACTATTAAACTGCCGCTCGTTATTCAATGTACAGTTTTTATGATTTAATTTTAAGCCACATAAAATGTTTTTACCAACTGCCAAGTATCCTAAGCGTAAAGCCTTTTCACATGCGACTTACTGTAATAAAATTACCACATGATTGTAAGATACCAATAATAGTAYTATATTAATGGATTTTGAACCGTAATTGGTTACCGGTGATCTTACTGTGAATTTATGTGGACATCGGTAAATAATTATCATACCATCGTGGAACTCACTCACACACCTTGAGTTATCGTGTGCCCACTATCGGTCAGAACCGACTGCATGCGCTTTTACTGAATATCAGTACTGGCTAAGTAACTGAAGAATCCAGTAAAGATAATCGTTATCATCTCAGAAATATGAAAGTGTACACTGACTATACAGTCACCAATATTAGCTGCTGGTAGCTCGCTAATGTCAGACCGTATATTGGTGCAGTTTTACGCCCATTGTGCATTTCCGATTGGGATACATTACATTTGTATAGCCAACATTTTTTTTTTTTAAGGGAAGTTGTTAATGTGCTTACATAGAGTTGGCTTAACTATCTCATAAGTTGATGTCTACGTTTATTGTAGGTATCGGTTCCTGTACTACAGTACAAGTATATATAAGTTATTGTAGGCATCTACAAAAATTTTCATAGACCATAGTATTTTATTTTATTAAAATTCTGGAAGCGGGAGTGGTAGCATCAGTCACGTAATTATATTATTAGTGTAAATATATTATTATTATTTGCATTTTCCTGTATAAATTGTAAATTTGATTAGTTATAATGCAATTAGATAAGTATTTTTTATTTATACCAGTGTGAAAAAAAAATATCATACATATTGAGTATTATTATTTTTTCAATTCTGGTTCTGATTTCAGTACTCAATGTTTTCATAAAAAGATTCTGATTCCGGTACGGTTTAAAAAAATAAAAATAAAAATATATATATATATATTATTTATTTACTGTTATATTTATATATATAAACTTACATGGTATATAAAATAATAAAACAAATTAATTACAGGTTATCTGTAATGTTTGGATTGCGGTTTGGAACATTACGAAATTGTAAAATAATTTTGGTGTGATAGGGATGCACAAGAAAATATAATGTGTAAATTCGTACTAATTGCGTGCAAAATATMAGTGCTGAATACATTTAAAAAAAAATTTAATAGGGTTACAATATTTCATTGACCTCAGCTTTGGTAAACTATAGTCGGTAAATATAGAAATATAGTACCTACAATTTTCAYCAAAACCAAATGCGTGAAAATTCGTGCTAATTACGTGCTGAATAATATCATTGAAAACTTATACACATACATATATCAATGTTGTGTGGTTGGAAAAATCACGTTTTCCAAGGTAAATGTAACACACATATAAATATATTATGTTATTTCATAAGCGTAATATAGTGATATACACATATTTCATAATATTTTGACTGATTTACGACTAAAATGATACGTTACGTCGGTTAGAGTGGGAGAAAAATTGCACGATGGTCCATTATATTATTAGAAAGTACTAGGTATAAACCATCAATCTCATCACACTGCATTAATATTAATATTTTGCCCATAGGTATCTCTACTAGATATATAAATATAAATAAAACAATAATTGTACACGAATACRATATGGYGCAAAGAGGCAATTGTATTATGTTATATTATTTATTTTCTAATTTGTTCTTTACATAAAACGTATTACTTTACTTCATTAAGTATGTGYTTTTAATTGCTTACAAGTCCAAAAGATATAAATATTATTTTTATTTTTTAAATACAACAATTTCACCACACGAAAAATATACCCTAAGTATATTTTAAGAGCAMATGTATAATGTTATGATCTCATCGATAGAACAAATTACATTATTTTAAAAAATGTGTGTAATCTATAAGAACAACAAATATATTATAAATTGAATAAACAATTTTAAACATTATATAATTACATGATTTTGGAAAAAATAACTGCTTTGATGTCGG